GATAGGTCCAGGAGGATTTGTGAGTGGTCTTCAGGCCCTCCAGTTGGTGTCATCCCATGGGTTATAGATGAATTATACTGAATACCTTTTAGTTTTGTTTTTCTTGTCCTAGTACTAACTGTATTTAATTGGGTGGTGTATTAGGAGAATGGAAACCACACTTAATTTAAAAAACAAAACAAAACTTTTTTTTTTTTTAATTGCCAGTGGGTTCATGTGCTTGCCAGAGAGAGATAGAGGAAGAGAGAGAAAGCACTACCTCAACAAGGCTTAATAGTATTACATATCCAAAATACTACAAATTTCTCCTCCATTTCTCCATCCCATCAGGATTTTGAGCATGTGTGTACACTTGTGCCTGATGTGTTTTCCAAGTCGCTAGGCTGGAATTCAGACTGTAGTCATCAGTCATGCAGGGTCTGCCTCACACCTCACCCCACCCAGGGGGATGGCCACGCTGCAATCCCGTCTCTGTTCTCTTGGGATTTGGGACACCTACGCACACATACCTGGTGTGAGTTTAAAGCTGCTGGGTCCAGGACTTGAATTGTGGTTGGCCATGTGTGAGTCCAGTGACCATTATGCCATCTGCAGGTACCGTATATTTAATTTTAGGGACCAGCAGTTGGCATAATGGCTATGATGCTGGACTCCCATGTAGTCAACTGCGGTTCGAGTCTTGGACCTGGTGGCTTAAACTCACGTCGGGCACGTGTGCATATGTGCCCAGGATCCCAAGAGGAGAATGGAGGAGAAGGGATTGCGATGTGACCATCCCTCCAGGGGGTGATTTCTCACTTTCTCTCTCTCTGTCTCTCTCTGTCTTTCTGGCTAGTGCATGTGCCCTATAGCAACAGAGAATTCAATTAGGAAAGTGATTAAGTAGGTTTCCTTTTTTTGCCTTCTGAGATAACATAGCTGATACCTACTGAAAGTACCTCCACTCCTAAGGCTTGAGGCACAAAGGAAAAAAAGAGGTTTATCAAAATCTAGATCAGAGGAAAGGGCCTTTTGAAGTAGGGCTCAGATCTCTGAAGAGACAGTCCCACCCAGCTGCCATAGGAGCTCAGAGGAGGGCTTCATGGGACCTGGATTCATTCCTTTGAGGAGGGGGTGTAACCTGGCTGCTGCTGGTACCCCTTAGAGGGGGTACAATGAAGCTAGTTCTGGGAATATGGAATGAAGCTGGAACCTGGAATCAGTTGCTGCTTCCAGGTGACCATTGCAGGGGCTGCACTGCTAGGACAGTAAGCCCACAGGAAAAATGAAGTACTTTCACTCTCCCTCCCCAGCCTCATCTTTCTTTTCTTTTTTTTTTAAATTCTTTTTTTTTTTTTTTTGGAGGGGTTTTTTCCCTATAGGGGCACAT